AGTCCCCCCCAGATATAATACACTTATGCCAGCGTTTTTCACAATTTTCGAAGCACCCTTGATATTCACTTTTTGATATGTCCTTGAGCACTCTCAGCGATTTTCTTCAATCGAGGAAAACCGCCGTCCTTTCATGGGTCTCTTCAACTTTGGGAATAGGAAAAAGTCACACGGAGCCATATCTGGTGAATTTTTGCACTTTGCAACACTTTATTTCATTTTTTACGCAAAATTTAATACAAATTCTTTGACTTTTCAATTCTTCCATTGTAAAAATCGCCGAGCTCAGAAAAACACGTCGAACCTTAGCGACTACCACAGACAAAGTAAACAGTGAATATAGCTGAAAATTTCATCATACTTTAGGGGCATGTATACCAACACAATAAAAAAAAATTTTGACAATCAGACACTCCAGACCCGCGAAATTTAATTATTAGTAATTCCGGGTACTTTTTGAACACACTTCGTATGTCATGTACGTAACCTCTAATATTATTTAATAATTTAAATTAAAGGTTTTAATACATTTTTTACACAACTAGAGTTTTGGCCGTAAAATTTTAGTATGGTCTTTAAAACCACGATGTCTATCAACATAAAGAATTTCATATGTAAAAAAATTTGAACATTGAATTTTTAAATTTGAATATCAATTCCAAATGATATCTTTCGAATAGTTTTAAAATTTTTAAAATGGTATCAAAATTTTTGGCCCAAACGTAGACGAGAAATTTTCACTTTTCTCCTAATTATTAAGAGACGGCTCGGCCGATCGTCGCACAAAACTGAGAAACGATAGTCCTCATCGAGATACATCGAAATCTGTTCAGGCTTGGAAATCGAAATCGGTTTAGAATGAAAGATCTAATTTCGACAAACGCTAAAAAATCGTCACTAATTTTTGCAAACTTGGACGATTAAAAATAGAACGACTTATCATAGAGTTGTAATATTTTAGTATGATCTAAAAGAACATGATAGCAAACGTCAAATAAAAATATAAAAATCGTCAAAAAAAAAAACAAATTCAACAGGTAATTACAGAACTTGTGCCAGCAAATCTTTACTAAAAACTAATCATACGCACATATTTTTTTAAAATTTCATTTGTCTCATTCAATTTAGAATGGCTTCAAACGCCAAGAAAATATAAAATTAGCAAATCGGATTTTTTATGACAACATAAACTTCTCCTTCGGAAAGTTAATAAATTAGAACTAATCCAATCTAAATGGTAAACTAAATAATTTGTACCAAAATGATCACGTGGTTTTAAAACGCAAAAAAAAAATTTAGAATTTCAGCGATTTGTCTAATGAACTTTTCCTTTATAAATTTTATGTTAATATTTGATACTTTTTAGTAGTTGCTTGTTATAAATATTGTTTCATTTTTGCACTAAATTATTATTAAGCAAGTCACAATATATAGAACAATTCACCTATTAAGAATATCTATGGACTATATTTTCAGAAAAATTAAGTGTATTGCAAAAATCGTTTATCGAGTGTAAACTCTCAGTAATTAAAATCAATATTTGCCACTTTAGTGCACACTATCTTAAAAAATATTTGTGTTTTCAAAGTTATGGAAGTAGAGATCGGTAAAAAAAATTAAGTTCATTTCAAATGAGACTAGTGGGGTGTATGGCATCGTGCCTTAAGGCAAATTGCTGGAACTTTCCGTAGGGTAGAGCGGGGCTAGTTGAGCATAGGGGCAAGTTGAGCAATCGAAATATCTCGAAAACTATTCACCGTCCGTTTAGGCATTATATGGCGGCAAGATAGAGGTTTGGGAGAAATAAACATCCCGCGATCGCTAGTGGCCGCTGGACAAATGAGTGAGGCTCACGGGCGATTTGTTTATTTTGAGCCCAAAAAGTAAAAAAGTCATTCATCACGAGTTTTCGTCTGGTTTAGTCAAATGTGATTTATTTTTAATACGGTAAATGTTATTCTTCCATATAATTATAGTACTTTTAATATGCACAGAGATTCTGGGTATAATTCTTACGGCTTTTTTATAAGCTCACTTTTATTTTGAAATTCCGAGTTGGGGTTAGTTGAGCATAGTTGCTAAACTTGTTCTGTCACTAAGACAATTACCATTAACTTCCAGAAATTAATTTATTATTAAGATTTAAGCTAAGTCTATGAGTTATAATATAAAGAAATAATGATTTTAAACAAAAATACTGATTGTGAATATAATGGCAAAATAGTTCCTAACATACAATATTGTTTTGTTGATTCTACTTTTCGTTAATTATTCAAAGCAAATTACTATTAGTTTTGTTCTCTCTGTCAATAAAGACTATAAATATATAACTGGTTATTAAAAACTTATTTTATTTCATCACAAATTGACATTGAACTTATGATTTCATTATACTTTCTTAGTGCTCAACTTGCCCCACCTATGGGGTACATTGAGCATACTTGACTTTTTGCATTTAAACAGCTGTAGCTTTTAAATTTTACTTATTACCAAAAAATAGTATTAACACTTTTGTTAAGCGATAAACTACAGATCTATTAAGCCGTATAGCAATTTATTGAGACTTTTTATTGAGGAGCTACATCCGTTTAAGTAAAATTTTGCTCAACTAGCCCCGCTCTACCCTACTGTAACAAAATGTTCGAGGAATATTGAATGTATTCAAATAGATTATTATAAATTTTGAAACATTGTCTAATATTTATAAGAAAAATATAAACTGAATTGCAAAGTTAAAATTATGTGTTTAAAGTATATTAGAACTTTATTCAGAATTAAAAATAAAATCTGAATTATTTTCGATATAACAGGAAAAATTTTTTTTTGAAAAAAAAAATTTCGAAACTTAATTATTTTGTTAAAGTAGAAAGTTCTTTGAATCATTCAAATCGGACGCTTAGTTCTTTCAAAAACTGCCATTTTTTGACATTTAGCTCTGTATCTTCGAAATGGCTAGGCCTGACTTTGCCAAAACTAATAACCACTTCTCCGAATCATTACTAATTGAATGTTTTTTAGATCATTCAAATCAGATGCTCCGTTCTCTCAAAAACTCGATTTCTATTTTCCGCACTCTTTGCTCTTTATCTCCGTAACTGCTGGTCTTGTCTTTGTCAAAAACTAATCAGCACATCTCCCTATCAATAGGAATCGAAAACGTGAACGAAAAAATGCGGACACACAAAACACACACACACACATACGTGCACACGCTCACACACACATCAATTTTTTTAAAAGTATGCCAAAAGGTTCAGAAACCTTCAAAACGACGAGAAATGCAAAAATTATCAATTTCGATTTTTGAATGTTTACAATAACTTACCCTACAGGAAGTTGATAAAAAAACTAGTGGGTGTATGGAATCGTGCCTTAAGGCAAATTGCTGGAACTTCCCGTACCGTAACAAAATGTTCGAGAAATATTGAATGTTTTCAAATAGATTATTATAAATATTATAACATTGTCTAATATTTATAAGAATTATATAAACTGAATTGCAAAGTTAAAATTATTTGTTTAAAGTATATTAGAACTTTAGTCAAAATTAAAAATAAAATCTGAATTATTTTCGATATACAAAAAAAAATGAAAAAAAAATTTGAGACAATTTTTTTTCCAGAATCATTTATTTTGTTAAAACAAGCAGAAAGTTCTTTGAATCATTTAAATCGGACGCTAATGTCCACTTCTCCCAATCATGACTAATTCAATGTTTTTAGATCATTCAAATCGGATGCTCCGTTCTCTCAAAAACTCGATTTCTATTTTCTGCACTCTTTACTCTCTATCTCCGTAAATGTTGGACCTACCTTTGCCAAAAAGTAATCAGCACATCTCCCTATCAGTAGGAATCGAATGTTTTTGAACCATTCAAATCGGTTGATCCGTGCGCCCGAAAACGTGAACGAAAAAATGCGGACACACAAAACACACACACACACACATACATTTTTTCCGAGGTATGCCAAAATGTTCAGAAACCTTCAAAACGTCGAGAAATGCAAAAATTTTCAATTTCGATTTTTGGACGATTACAATAACTTACCTTACGGGAAGTTAAATATATTCATTGTTAAGGTTTTTGATCACTTTTGTTTTTTATTATAGATTTTTATCTATTTGCAGAACCCGTTCGAAAATATAACGTTCATGTAAAAACTATAATACGTTACTATTATAATCAAGTCCTGTACTAAGTCTAGGAAATTGAGAGCATAAAACAACTGGAGCTTATTTGTTTTTTACTATGTTTAAATGTAATATTTTTATTATGTAATAATACTATTCAATGACTTGGAATTGATTACTTCCATCAACTTATTTTTATTGTTTCTTTTTTTTCAGATCATATCGGGATAATGTGCTCAACACCTCATAACATGCTCAAGATGCCTCTCTAACATCGAGAATTTTCTTGAATTTGGCTAAAAATCGACTCGTGGAATGCAGAAGTCGTGTACGGTTGTCATGGATGAAAGACATTCAAACTCAGAGAACTCGGAAAGATGTGATATGGAGATATCTGTTGAAACGACCAATTCTAGAAGCAGATGCTGCTCCTTAACGTGGCGCAGGTTGATATTCTGCATAGATAAAAAGTTATAAAGATCAGCCATTACTGTTAGTGGATAGTGTTTTGTGAAATCCTGTTAAAACAAAGTAATTTATTCATGTTATACAATGCTATCTAAAAGTTTATGAATGTTAAAATGCGGATAATAGTATTAGAATTGTAATAGCCGTGTGCCCAGTATATGTTTATTACTAAGATAAAAATATAATACAATACGTTAAATACACCAGATAATATAAAACATGTTATATACATGTATATGAACAAATGTCTAATAAATGTATAGTTAAAAGTAGGATGTAAAAAGATAGAAAATGCTAGACGCTTTATAAATCTAATAATAAACATTTTTCTATAGCTTATACTAATTACGTAAATTTTATTATATGGTGTGATTTATTAAAGAACATTTAATTAATTGTGAGAAAATACATAAACTATAAGTTCTTCCAACACAAGTGATATAAATTCAAAATTCCAAAATGCTGCCTACAAACGTGATGTCGTTTATGAAGAAGGTAAGATTTTAAATAATGTAACTGTTATTTATGTTAGAACTAATTTATGATAATATTGTTATCGGTTTTGGACAATATCCAATTTGCAGAAATGTTTTTATGATTTGACTTAACGTCTGGCTAGACAGTTACACAAAGTTGCACAATTTCAACGAAGTTCGGTTATATCATAAAATAATAAATTTAAAAAATTTCAAGATATGGTCGGAACCATATTTGTCTTCAAATAATTTCTATGCCAATTTTTATGTATATTATTGTGTAGGATAGGGCAAGGCACAAAAGACCATATTAATTTTTAGCAACTCTACTGTGAAAACTAATCCAACGGCGTCAAACAAATAAGTTGTAATAAAGAAAAAACATTAATCAAACTATGTTTAGTCAAATTTCTAGCTAATTCGTCATTGCAGAACTATGATTTTTGCTAAAATTCGTCTTCTAGTCTTTTTTTGTCTCATAATATTTTGTTTTAAGTTTTAAGGAGTATAAATAATTGCTACACTATAATATATATACATTATATACATCATACACCTTTTTCACAATCATCACACCAATAGTTTTTGGAAATGCTATTATTACAAATAAGATCAATACCTGCGATTTCTATATGAACTACATATTTGACGGACACATTTTTTACTAAGATCAAACTGCATACATCCTTCATATGGAACTTCGTTAGAAGAATTCATCATAGAGTTTGATTTTCTATTTATTTCTTGAAAAATTGCTTTATTTAACTAAATTCACTTTTTCCTTCATGTTTTTACCTTGGTCGTGTTCTTTTTACACTAACCATTTATAAGATATGCTAGCGATAAAACTGAATTTAACTTAAAAATAACAATATATGTTATAAATAATTAAAGAACGAATACATAAAATTATATTTACAAATACTTTTGTTTAAAATTCGACAATGTGACCATTTATCTTCTGGTTGCAAAGTCATCCGATTTCAGGCGATAGACATTATAGTACTATCATTAAAAAAATTCAATTTTTGTTTGTTTTTGAGATGATGAATGTGGTCCTGCTTACTTCCGATTCACTTTACTTGAAATTATTGCGCCAACTCAAAACAGCAACAAAACCGCTCCCAAATATTATATTAATAAATGATATACATAATTTTTTCACATTTACATTACTTCAGTTATATTCATTACTTTATTTCGTCGTCTAAACAATATTTATTAAAATTTGTCGACGTCTTTGAACGGTCAAAATTTCACTGTTATAAATTCAGGAGTCTCTATATAAATGATATAACTCTTCAACGATATAGTGGTTTTCAAAAAATGTAATAAAAGTTTAATAGATTTTTGGAGGAAAATGGTTTCTCGAACGACTTTTAAACATACAGACGACTGTAAACTAAGCTCTTAAACTATGCGTTCAAAAAAGCAGAAATGTGTTGACTAACTGAGAAAAGTTTTTCATTTATGTTTTTTAGGTCAGATACTTTACAAGACACTTGTATATACGAATTATAAAATTTTGTTTAAGATGATGTTATCTGCAAGCTTTTATATTCCATAAGATAATACTTTCGTGCTAAAATCTCATTAAAGGTGAAATAAAATTTCTGAATTAAATTGATAGGTATATTTATGAACAAAAATGTTTGAAAAAACAGATTTTATTGCTGATTCGAAAGATAATTAGTATAATTCCTTACTCAGTCATTAACCACGCATTTATATAATTAAATAGTATATTAAATGAATATAATTAGTAAATTGCGTTCAATATTGATCATAAATTTAATTCATTTCATAGCATTTGCCCTCCGACATTGTTTGTCTATGTAAAATGGCTTTAGATATATGTCTTGACAGACCTTCGTTAATGTATAATATTACACGATCTATCAACATAATGAAACGTCCTTCACCTATATATGTCATCCAATCTCGGGACGCATGAAAACACCTCTCAAGATACTCGCGTTTGTCTCTTCTATTTGAAACACACACACACACACACACATATATATATATATATATATATATATATTTAGTTTAACACTGTATCTAGAAATTAGCTTTATCGCTAATACTTGCTAATACTTTAGTACAAAACATTATATTTTTTATGCAAACATAGATTCGCTGTGAAAGTTGTAAAAAAATTTTTATTGAAAATTTTTATTCTTGTATCAATGACTTATTTAAATAAATTAGATATCATTTGGAAATCGCGCTGATTAGATTTTGACAAACACCGGCCAGGTTGTTCCTTTAAAATAACTTTTTGTTGTTCCTCTACAATATTTTTTTTAATTGTAATGTTTTTCACAAAAGACATGTCTTTTGAAAAATATGAGCCGAATAACATTTTATCTCCAATAGATGGTTGTTGACGTATGAAGAAATTGATGAATGCAAAACTATAAAATTTGAATCTTTAAAGTCTAAAAATTATTTACTATAGCTGCATTCTCAAAATGTGTGCTTATAAATATTTAATTATTAGTTTCAGCTTAGTTTAATGTTTTTTGTTTACGAAGAATGATATTTTATAGTTTATTGAGACGAATTCTTAGTTAAAAGATTATTTTGCCTAAAATCCTTTTTTCACGATCACAAATTGCGCTCTTCAGTTTTGCCATAAAAATATTTGTAATAATCGATTTACCTTTGAAAAAAATGTAGTTTTTTATATTAATTAGATGTTTGAAAAACATTGTTGACTGATATTTACAAATTATTAAGCAACATCAAATAATAATAATACTTAGTGCTCTGTCTGAAGGCAGGTTCATGGCATGCGAGCATCACAAATCGATAATACCTCTTCTCTCCCTTGATTATTATAACCTTATTCAAATTACCAAACTTCTGTTTCGAACAACGTGTAGCGGATAACACATAATGCTAATTTAGGTTTCCATATTTTAAATTTTAAATTATAACACACTGATGATGAGACAAACCTAGCCTCGAAACGTTTGTGAAAATTATTATTTAATAAAATATTGCAAAAAAGAGTGTTGTTTGTTCATATTTCCAAATAAATATATATATATATATATATATATATATATATATATCAGTCTATAACGATATACTAATTAAATATTAAATTATCAAAGTGCTTCACTGGCACTTCCGATGTTTTATAAGAATTCATAAAATACTGAAATTCATGAATATAAATGGTTGAAGCTCTGCAACAGATTGTTGACTTGCACTTTCGTTGGAAGTATTCCAAATATTGAGATTGCTCGTAATCGAGTCGATCCTCTCACAACGGCTGTGTTTTTGAGAGTCAGCATTAACATAAGCAATAACATGAATATCAGCAACCACAGATTCGGATATAATATATCTTGGAAAATTGCCGAGAGATAAAATGAATTCTGTATAGGTACTTGCTATATACTTTTATAGCGTATGTGGTTTGGAAGAACTATTTAATACCTCGGATTTTTTATTTTAAATACTCGGGTTGGCTCGTCAAATTAATTTGACTTTTATTATTGACTTCCAAAGAATAAGGATTTTTTAAACTTTGTCTGCGTTTTCCTAAAAACAGCTAAATCGATTAAGAAAAATTGAAAAGCCATTCCATATAACTCATTATGGAATCTCGTTTATTAGTTTTGCGTAATTATTGGCCAAGCTATTATTTAAAATTAGCAGAAAAGTATTAAAATCGTCCACGTTTTGATAAAAGATTTTAAATGAGAAATGTGCTAAATATTAACTTTACGTAGGGTAAGTTATAGTAATTACACAAAAATCGAAAATGTTTTTTTTAAATCATCGCGTTTCAAAGGTTTCTGAACATTTTGGCAAACTTTATAAAAATGTGGTTCTTTTTGTATAGCGAAGTAAACGCGTTTATGCATCTTATACTGGGTTTTTTGTTTGGGTATATCGGACTCATATCAATATTTCCTGGGTATAATTCCGACTAAAACTTCGCGTATCACTTGTCTCTGATCCCCATGGAAGCCGCCATTTCTGGGGGATGGATCTAGGCAGATATAATTCTCTTTCTGAATTATACTTTTCTTCTAATTAATGCTATCCGCTCAAAATGTTCAAAAATGACCATTCAATTTTTGGGAGGGGCGGAGCGAAATGAATAACCAATTACGAATTTGCAGTTCAGTAGGCATATAGACATATTAAATATGTAGATAAGTAGACAGGTAAACTGGCGGACAGCTAGACAAGCACAAAAGTAGGCAAGTAGTTACGGGATCCATCCCGTACGCATACAACAACATACGACTGCAGACGACCGCAGACGACTGCAGACGACTGTAGACGACTGCAGACGACTGCAGACGACTGCAGACGACCGCAAGAAAGTCGTCACAAGAACGTATAATCAATTGTTACCTATATAAGAGGCGGGATTGATATACTGATATCATTATTATATATCAAACTGACCAGTACACTATTATAAATATATTGTAAAATTAGTGAAATAAAGATTTATTTCTATACCCAAGTATATAATTAAGTTCAAACTTAGACAAGTAGTCACTGAATCAGGTAGACTTTATACAGGTTACAAGTAGACTGCTAGACAGGTAAATCACATGAAATATTTATTGATCAAATCTATTATTATTTACACATATCGAAACATTTATGCAACTTGCATTAAGGCAAAATGCCACTTACAGCTAGTTAAATTTATATAATTTTAACGCGATCTGGATATTAAATTTTTTTGTCTAACTGTGCTAGATTATAAAGATTTACATGTTCGTTGCAGAACATTTCGGTAATAGGAAACATGTTATACACCAAAAATACCTTGTTCAATGTAACTTGATATTAATAAATATCATGTTCGCATCTAAAGTGATACATATTTTGAATATTTCGAAATATTTCGTACATCGCATATGTAACAACTGATAACATATGTATGAATTGGACAAAGTTATACCGTATGTCACATCTGCAGCAACGCTATGCTTCATAAAATAACATTTTGTCGTAGAACAATTTATTTTCCCGCTGTTG